CTTGCAGCTCATAGCTCACTGCATGCCCATGGCAATGACTAAGAGTGCTAACTGAGCAAGCAGCATCAGCTACATCAATAACATCCTGAAGAATTACTCAGTGTTTTCACATAAACCTTTATTTTTAATATGGGAGTTTCGAATTCTTGAAAGGTGCTACGTTGACAGCCCCATAGAGAAGATTCAACATGGACCCTAGGAACAAAACCAGGAGGAAATACTGCCAAGTCTACTCAACCCTTACCTTCCCAGCTGAAATGACAAACAGTGTGAATTAAGATGATTGTGGTATTTTGGTGAAATGAACAGATTCTTTTACAACTAAACTGAATGTACCCACTCATTTCATATAGGCTACTAAATAGCTTTCACAGGTTAGTGACTTCTATTTGCTATTGATTAGGGTCAAATTAAAACACACGGGAAAGATAATTGGTTCTACCTCCCATTAACATTCCCTTGAGTTCTGGCATTCTATTCCACTTACAAGTGCACATTCTTTAATGCCACATCACCCTAGTGGCTATATGTCATATAACATAATATACATATAGATGTTACGTGTTATTCTGTAACCTTAACGGAAATATGCCAAATTATAACAGAAAAAGAAGGGGGGGGGGAAAGAAATACCTATCAATTGTAGTGCCGGTGTTAATGAGGCTGCATCACATCACCGAACCAAGGTGTAACAAGACTAACAAAAATATATATATAGTATCATGAGCTTTCTTGAGCAAACCCCACTTCCTCAGATAATGAAGAAAAAGGGAAATATGCCAAATTATAACAGAAAAAGAAGGGGGGGGGGAAAGAAATACCTATCAATTGTAGTGCCGGTGTTAATGAGGCTGATTGAGTAGGCTGTAAGTGTCCCATACTTAGCTTTTGATGTCATTTGGGTGTTGACTATAATGGCCCATCCAGTACATGTGTTTGCTCAAGCCATGAGATTTTGTCAAATTTGTGTCAAATTTGTTTATGAAAGCCAGTTCTGCAGTCTCTCTCTGTAGTTGGTTTCTGAAATTCCTTTACAGAGGAATGGCTACTTTTAAATTCATTAAAGAATGCCCAGGTAGATCGAAATGCTAGTGCTAATGCTACAGGCTTTGTGTATTACAGTTTCTGATATCCAACTTGTGTCCATTTAACCTTTGTCATAGAGACTATCCAGTTTGGCCACTATACATGGCAGAGGGGCATTGCTGGCACTTGATGGCATAGATCACATTAGAGGACATGCAGTTGTATGAGTCTCTGATGTTGTGGCTTTTGTGGTTAGGTCCTGTGATGGTGTCGCTTGTATAGATGTGTGGGCAGAGTTGGCAACAGGGTTTATTGCAGGGGTAGGTTCCTGGTTGGGTATGTTTGAGGTATGGTTGCTAGAAAGAATTTACTTCAGGTTAGGAGGTTGTCGGTAGGTGAGGATTGGCCTGTCTCCAAAGGCCTGTGAGAGTGAGGGGGTTATTTTCCAGGAAAGTTTGTAGACTGTTAATGATGCACTGGACGGGTTTAATTTGGGGGCTCTAGGGCTATGTCTAGACTGCAAACCTCTTTTGAAAGAGGCTTTTTCAAAAGATACTTTCGAAAAAGCTTCTTTCGAAAAAGAGCATCTAGATTACAATCAGTACTTTCGAAAAAGCAAGCTGCTTTTTCAAAAGAGAGCACCCAGGCAGTCTGGATGCTCTCTTTCGAAAAAGCACGGTTTGCATTACATAGCGCCTTTTTTTGAAAGAGCACTTTCGAAAAAAGGCATTATTCCTTGTGAAATGAGGAGTACCACCGTCGAAAGAAAAGCTGTGTTATTTCGATTTAATTTCAAAAGAACAGGGCTGTAGTCTAGACGCAGGTGAAATTTTTTCGAAAAAAGGCGACCTTTTTTGAAAAAACCCTGCAGTCTAGATACAGCCTAGGTGATGACTAGTGGTGATCTGTTATTTTCCTTGTTGGACCTATTTTGAAGAAGCAGATGCCTGGGTACTCATCTGGGTACTCATCTGTTTTTTCACTTCCCCTGGTGGGTATTTAAGTTTTAAGAATGCCTGATAGAGTCGTTGTAGGTGTATGTCTTTGTCTGTGGGACTGGAGCAAATCCGGCAGTATTGTAGGGCCCTGTAAACAATTTATCATGAGATATGTCCTGGATGGAAACAGGTAAGAGTGATGGTTGGTAGACTCTATGGAGATTTCAGAAAAGTTGAAGGTAAGGCTCTCTCACATTTAAATACTCCACAGGCCTTGTTTTGGCTTTCTGAACAGTGTGATGTAAAAAGAACACATTATGCAATATTATTACATCATATTGCCAATCACTACGTTAACAACTTTTTTTGAGGTTAGCTAATTGGAGAGTGGTCGCATTAAAGAGTTAGAAATTAGTTTATAAAATAAAAGTTATAAAATTATAATTACATCTTCCACTCAGGTTTTTTTAACAACATATCCATTAGTGACATTATACTAATAATATTGCTAAATTGTGACTTTAACATTTTAAGAAATTAAATTACTGGAAGACAGGAAAAGTAAGACTGTGATATACAACTGCTGAGCTACAAATTTTAGTGCAGTGAAACAAATATTAATTGTACTGTATTTACACCTGTTATTGGTAATGAACAGCATAAAACTGTGCAGACTGCAGTTTGTTTTTATTTCCCACAATCCCTTTAGTTTGTAAGGGATGATCCTCAGTTAGTTGAGCCGTGTTTCCACTTGCTTACTAAGCACTTTTGGTCAAACGAGGGATGGCAGAGTTCCACAATTAGATCAAAAGATCAATCCTAATGTACCATTTTCTCCTCACCCTCCTGCTTTAATAAAGTGGCCACAGTTCTCCAGGGGACAACTCAAAATCCTAGTACTGATATTTCTAAATTAGCTGACTCTGTGACCTTGCTGGTAATTGCGTTAGTTTATCAATGTTCAACACAATTTATTACTCTCCAATATGTACCAAAGCATTTATCTCTCAACACTAACAATATTAAAAATCTAAACTATCTATTGAGGGACAAAGGGCCATTCAATAAGGAAAATGCATAATAAAATGGAAAATGCCATGCAATAGGCAATAGCATCTTATAAGTCTGATGACTGAAGAACATGCATGTAGCAATATTTTTAGACTCCCTTTTTAATCTCCAAAAGCATAGCTAACTTAAAGAAAATCTTCATCTTTATATATACCTAGGAATTAGCTACAGCTTTTGTACATCACTGAACTTATTACCCAAGTTCCAATGAGAAAAATGAAGACTGATAAAGCCTTATCTAAGCATTTAAAAGTCATTTGGACACATTGATCAAAACTCTCTCTGAAATTAAACATATTAAATTTAGATGGGGAAAAAGACATTAAGTTGATGGAACCCAATTTTTGTATGAAGCAAACAAATGGCATCAATTCACCAACCGTCTCATCTTGATCACATCATTATGCATTATTTAAATTATGCGCTTGATTTGGGTAGTTAATAAGCTGCCTGTAAACTTGCTGTAGATTTGATTATTGTGGGCTATGCTCTGTCAGTTTCTGCAAAAGGATTATTGATTTGTTTTTACCTTTGTGAGAACTCAGAAACAACCATGAAGCCATGTCATAAACTCTGCTCTCAGCGAGATAAGAATTATCAAGCGCTGTAAAGTACAATGTATAATATAGTATTTTGAATGAGTCAGTGAACACAGAGTGGTCTGAAACTCAGCAATTTTTGTTCCCAAGGAACTAAGAAATTTTGATTTCAGTTTGTGTTGGATTTACAGCACTGTGACACTTCAATTTCCAACGAAGATCAATACAAAAAGAGGGAAATCATCTGATTTTGTCTGAATTTAGCATCAAATCAGCCAAAACAATGCCTTTTGCTTGGTTTGTAGTAATGACTATATGCTGAAAACGTCACAAATTTGGGTTGAAATCCTGGCTGCATTGAAATCAATGGCAAAATTCCCACTGACGTGTGTAGAATCAGGATTTCACACTTGGTCTCAGTTTTGGGTTTATAATGAAACCTGATACAAGGTAAGTTTTTGCCAACTTTTACCTTTGACTATGAAACTCTTAAAGTGTACAGGTCTAATTTTTCTCAAGAATCAATGTGGTAACAACCAATGTGGTTGGCTACTGTTTTTTCAGTTTTTATAGTAAAAAAGTCTTTGGAAAAATACTGGTAGCCATCATATTGGTCATTGAGAAAAAAATTAGACCACATAGGTTTTAAGACTTTCATTGTTGAATTTAAATAATGTATTGTAACGTTGACACAAAAATTCGTGTCTGGAGAATGTGTTAAAGTCTGTAATCTTGCAGCCATTTCTTTACTTTGTTGTATTACTAAACTGCAGCTCACATTCATATAACATTGATATATTCAAGTTCACATGGTCATTTGCATTTTTTTCTGCAGCACATCGCCGAGACAGCAGTGTGTTAAGGAGCCTTTATGGATGTAGTCTCCGTTCACTGACTGCGCACAGCAAACTGTGAGCAACTTTAAATCCATCTACAAACTTTTTATCTTTAAAATATTTTTAATGTAACTGTACTAGTTGTGGAAGTGATCATCTATGCAGGGTGCCACAGTCAAGCTCTAGTTTATCAATCTCCACATTATCTCTGGAATTTACAAACATTGTGAGGCTTACAAATGACATGAGGTGAACTTGTGATCACATCTGTCATGACCTACCTGGGAGATGGTGGGAGGAGAGTCACTACTGTGTGGATACCAGCTGAATGGTGACCTACATTTATCAGAATTGGAATTTGCTGGATGGAAGCCATATCACTGGATAAGTCTGCATGTATTCTACCCTGTCATCCATTTGTTCTGTGTTGTTAAGTGAGAGCTACAGTTCATTTCCAAGATAAATAAAACTTTACATGTGTCTTCTTAATATGTTTGTTGGAAAGAGAGAACTGAGACGAACAGTAGGAAACGGCTCTTTAATTGGAAACACCCATTTCAAAGATAGTAATAAAAATTGGAAGGCTCTACTTTGTACCTCGACGTTGACCATGAGGTACAGACATGAGGAGTTATGCTTTCAAACATAGCAATATCTAGTCTTTCCTTAACTTCTGAAGTCCATTGAATAATTACTTGAATTAAAAGAAACAAAAGATCATTGAGTCATTGGTGTTTTATATTCAATATATGACAAATTTATCTAACATAGGCATGCAATGATTCCTAATCCCCCTTCTTATCCAGTATCTTCTTTTTCTTTTTTTCTAGTTAACAAAACAATAGTAACTATAAACTAAACTAGCATTTCCTATTATTCTGTTTGGTTGCATCTGGTAACTGTTTTAACTTTTTAAATGTTTGTTTCTATTTTAAAATTTGATTATTAGAAATGTTATGATATTTATGAAAAATGATAAGTTAGTTGATAATGACTTTTAAAAGTTGATGTGTTTTCCCCAAATCTTCATTGTAATATGATTGAACTACAAGACATGAAAATATCATCAGAAAAATCCTTATCTTACGTGCTGTTTAAAACCATTACAATATGGGCTTCTTGTTGCTGTGCTCTCAGTAGGTCCCAGAGGGACAAATGAATCCATCCCAGAAATAGTGGAATTGCCATTCCTGGTATAACTAATGGGATTCCACTATGAAGGTATGTGAAAATAGTTTCAGGAAGCCTGCAGTGTGTGCTCTCCTGCACTCTATGTAGCCCACCTGTTTCCATGGTGATGGGTAGGACCAAGGAATCAGTGAATACCATATGAATCTACCAGGCCTTCCCTCATCAGTGAAGGGAGTGCTGCCATTGGGGAAGGCATTGCAAAAAAGGATTCTTCTCTTGAACTAGGTCTGAGAACAAGATTTGTTCCACTCTCATCAGATGGCAAAAGCTGGATCTCATAGGCCAGTAAGACACAATGGCTAAGCTTCCCGTGACATCACATTTGAAATGGCTACTGCTTTGCTTTGGTTATTTTATGTCAAACTGGGGAGAGGGCAAAAAAGCTAAGAGGATGCCATGCTGAGCACTGCAGCTTAGACTGGTCGTTTTCATCAATGTTCTCAACCTGGGGCATGCAGGTCACTCTAGCACTGGGAATGGAAGATGCTGACTCTCTCAGATGTAACTTAGTGGATGTTTGTGGAAATAATAGGACAGAAGGCTACACGGTGCATTTGGAAAATGAAAATGAAGATAAGAAGAATCTTTCTAGATACTTTTTTGGCATTTATCTTCCTAGCACAGTAAAATCTGGTGAGTACTGCGGTGGTTATCAAGATAAAAACTTCATGCTCAATTGTTGATATTATTTATTTGCATTACCATGCTGCATGGGAATCCCAGGTAAGGACTAGGACCCTGTTGTGCCAGGTGATGTAAGACCAAACAACAAAGAGACCCTTCCTCCCATGAAGAGCTTACAATCTAAGCAAAAGGTAAGTGTTAGTTGCCATATTAGATATCACACAGGTCTTTTGCACATTAGGCTAGTTAATATAGACCAGATTTAATAAAACTTGATTCCGTGATCTGCACCACCCAATTGCAATCAGATTGCGAAAGCCTTTGCCAAAGTGGTTCAGAAAAACCAAAAATCCCTTATGAACATTAACCAGCCTCCAGAACAAAAGGGAATCCATGCTGTTTTAAGGTTTGAAATGGACAATATTAAACAGGTGCTCCAAACCGGCTTCCAGTCCTAACTCTTTGAAATGTTCTTCCACTTCATCTTTTGGAGAGCTCAGCTGCTGGTTTGATAGGTTGATGGCAGTGAAGCTGAACTGAGACACTAAGCTCTGCTTGCTTCTCCTTCTGTCTCATCTCAGACTGTGCAACCTTTGACCAGTCCCAGATTCATTCAAATCTCAGTAATGATGGATCTTTACAAGTGAGCCAGACATGCTGAGGTCAAAGCAAACTCAAAAGCAATGAAACTATTAAATGTAGATGTCAATGAAAAGTGTGTTGGGTCTCCTGCACTCTCTTGCTGCTATTTACAGGGTATGAAAAGCACTGTGTACATTTCCACTGAAGACCTGGGTCATTGTGGTACAGCAAGAGCTAGGTAATCTGAAAGGTATGAAGCATTTTACAAAGCATGTCAAAGTACAACTGAGGGAGAAAAATGTTGGTTTGGGAATGCAAAGAAAGAGATGCTGAATATTCAGAAAAAAGTTTTGCAAAATTTTCCCAACTTTCAAATGCTTATCCCAAACCAAACTGCCTGTGGTCTGTTGTTCATTAAACAAATAAGTAAAAAACGAGTTATCTAAAATTTGGACTGGGTTCTGCAGCACATGAGATCAGCTAAATGTTTTAAAAAAATTATACATAGGATACAAATGTGTAGTAATAATAAAACAGCATGCATGTAAATATATGTATTAAGAAGAGGGAAGCAGATAAGTCTTGCAGAAGCCACAAAAGTCCTTAAATCTAGACTCTGGTCAAGGAAGAAGGTGAGGGATAGCAAGGTCTAGAAACAAGGCCCCCAATACTAGTCTGATCTGGTTCGTGCTTCAGCCAACTCAACCTCATCTGCATTATAAACTCTGATTGGCCCAAAGTAAGTAATTTCACTCAGTATCTACATGTCTAGGTTCCCTTATTACACCAGTTACTGGAGTATCAGAGCACCTTCCTGTTAAAAATAAGCCAGGACTTATGGGAATTGTGTCCTTTCCTAAGGGAGAGTCATATGGGTTTTGTTTTTATTTATCCTATTTAAGACTTACATGCAATATAAAGGCCCATTGATGGGTGGGGAGGAGCAAAGCAATTCAAAGGGGTGTGAGGTTCCCGGTTGCTGTGACTGTGATAGCAGCAGTGGCTGGAGCCCTGACCCTTTTAATTTGCTGCTAGAGTGCCACATTGTGCACTCCGTGTGGCTCTTAGGGCTGGGAGGAATGTACTATGCTTCGGGCCTTGTGGAGGGGTGGCTGTCCTTGGCCCCAGCTCTTTTGGGAGCATGGAACTAGCCACCCCCATTTTGCCCAGGGGTATTGGCTTCCTTGACAACACATTACTTTCTGGGAAATCAAGGAGAGAAAAAAGTGGACTTTGCATTTGGAACAGGAAGTGTTGAGGTTTGTGGTCCTTTTAATAACCTGCCAGGGTGAATGTCAGAGCTTTGGACACTGGAGAAAGTCCTGGTGGTTACACATATGAACTTTACCCTCAAGGGAGTCTGTTCTGTTCTTCTGAGGAATGGGGCTATCAAGGGTGGCCAAGTTGTTGTCTGAGACAGCCAGTTAGGTGTCCTAAGCTCAGACTATTTAGAAACTTGAAACTGGGCATTGAGACATTAAACAAAGTTTACATTTGAAATTCTTGGGGGAGTCAATGGAGCATGAGGATAATGTGGCCTTAGTGCTGTAAAGATTCATGCTGCTGCATTTTGCACCAATTGTAATCTTTTTCAAGCTTGGGGCTTTCAAGGCCAAATAAATTGTATTAGAATAAGCAAGTTGGGTAGTTGTGAAGGCCAGGTGATCACCAGGAAGCTGGGATGCCAACTTGGAATGGCATTTGAATATAAGTGCCCAGTGTCAATAAAAATACTAAAAGCAAACTGCAGTCTCCCTGGATTCGTGGACATGAGTCCTTGATCATTGGAGACAGCAAGATGTAAACAAAATGAAAATTGGCATTATAGCTGCATTTACACACTGATTTGGCAGTATAAATTAAATATAATGTATTACATGTTCCTAGTGTCTAATCAAGGCAGACTGTGAATCTAATGCTTAACCAGACTTTGGATAATTGAGAAGTTCAACAATAGTAAAGTCGGGGTCAAAAGTGTCTGCTCTAGCACTTTCCACCTCTCCTGATCATTCTGTGAATGGTTCCACATTAATACTGAAAATAGAATTTAGAAAATGTACCCAACAGTGATCTGGAGACGTCAGAACCAGGTCTGGCTTGATGCCGAAATCTGAGTGCTGGAAATAGGCTTCAAATGCACATGAATGGATAAGATCTGGTTATCTAGTCACACCATAGGAGAAAGATCACTACTTTATCTGTATTCTTGATGAACAATGTCTGGATACCATGAATCTTTAGTTTCTTGTATCTTCTATGCAGTAGATCTCATCTTCATTAAGATGTTGCATTTAGTCTATTCATGCCTCTTTTTTCAATGAATATTTATATATGCAACATAGATGCTTAACATGTGGTTTCCCCTCAGACCAGAACCATTGGATGTAACTCATTAGGCCCTGATTATATGTTAGATTTTTCAGATGGAATTTTCAGAAGTGCTCAGTGTTGTCTTAACTCTGCACCCACTGAAGTCACTGCAAGTTTTACAGTAAACTTCCGTGGAAGCAGTTTTTGCCAAAGCTGAGTGCTTTTGAAAATCCCATCCTACACGCTTTAAATTCTTGATAGCCTGCTCTGACATGAGCCTGATTTCCCTTGATGTTCCTTCTTCTTCCTCTGGGTAAACAATATCTAACATCCTTGGTAAACATTCAAAGAAAAGATGTTTGAAAAAAATGACCATTCCTTTTTTTACCTTTGCTTCAGTCTATAAATTACCTTTGGTGTCTCTTAAAAGCTGTATTGTCTCATAATTTTCTTCCATGTCGTTGTTCTGTTTTGTTGGTCCCCTGAGTTTGTAAGGATATATATTGATATAATGAACTGCATGCTCCAGAGTGCTTACTAGGGATATATCTGGAAATGATATATATTCAACTGTGATGAATCAAATATTTAAGAAACATTCCTTAAGCAAAGAAACAAATAGAGGAAAAAAACTCACTGCTGACCTAAAACATCCTTTGACTGTATCTAGCCACAGAAGATTTAACTTTCATTTCAATCCTGGCTCCTGCTACAAGGGTCATCACCATGAGCAATGTTTGAGGGTTTTGGTAATGTAAAGAGGGTGGGTCAAAGATCATAGAACATAAAATCCAATATTGGATAAAGTATTATCAGCGCTACAACTATTCACAGAATTCAGCATGAGTTTAGGGTATCACAATGTGTAAACAAAGGGAACGACATTTTCCACTTCCTTTTAATGAAATAATTCAAAGTAGAATTTAAAATGTAAACAAAGGGCCAAATTCCCCTCATGAGTGGACTTTTATCAGAGCTGAATATAGGCTGTTGCTTTTAAGACAATCTTAAAAACATAAGAATGACCATACTGGGTCAGACCAATGGTCCATCTAGACCAGCAGGAGGGAACACAACAGGTAATCCTCATGTGATCCCTCCCCTGTCACCCACCTCCAGAGAAACAGAGGCTAGGGATACCATTCCTACCCATCATGGCTAATAGCCATTGATGGACCTAACTTCTATGAATCTATCTAGCTTTTTGAATCCTTTTTTTGAACCCCAATCTTAGACTGATTCATTATTTTAGAAGTCAATGGATACATTTCCCAGCAATTTTTAAACATACCATAGGGCTATTTCTATTCTATCTACCCCAATATATATTATTATTCCATATGTTCTATTTGGCCCTTAGTCAGCATGCACAGCTCTTGCGGTATCAACAGGAATTGCATTAATATGACAACTCTTGACAAATCGTTTGGCTGATCACCAACTGGAAAATGTACCCTACTTGGCACTGGAGCATCTTAATGACCTTGGAGTTGGTGAAAGGGGCTTCTTTTTCCTATGAAGCTCCTGAACATTAAAGTAGGAGAGAGAAACAGACTATCTGCATCTTTAGTTTGACCTATTGATCTTCCCAGAAGAGAGAGGCTTCTGTCCCTTGAAAAGAACAGCTCCTGAGCTGCTTTCAAGACCCACCTGCCAAACTGAAGAGTTAGAGAAATAATTTTTAATTTGACAGAATTGGTCATTTCCTTGCTCCCGTGGAGACCACCTATCTGTCCAGCCTTCTGGCCTGCACAAATATCAGAGAATCCTCAGGGAGATGGAAAGTTCACAGTTTAATCCATTCTGTTCTTGTGAGATTCTCCTGGAGATGAGGCAGATTTAGGTTTCCCATTTCTGTTTTCATTGACCTGTGTTTGTGCCTGTCTAACACAATTCCTGTGTTTGTACCAATGAACTGCCTCCAGTTCCAAAACACAGTTGGTCCATGGCTCTTTAGAATCAAATCTCTCATATCTCTGATTCAGATATTCACAAACTTTAGAGAGACGAAGTGGGCGAGGTTATATCCAGTGGAATCTAGACGTACCTGCAAAGCAAGTTCAAACAAACTCAGGAGTCTAAAAAACAATATGGAGTTTTTTTCAGGAACTTTCTCTTTGTTTGAATGAGAAAATGAACCTACTTCCAGCCACAACGAGTTTGGTGTCAGAGTTTAATAAAAACAACTTTCAAAGAATGTACACTCAGTACTGAGACAGACTCAGGGCAGCTGACTACAGTAGTTTGGTGGATGATAGACATAATGGGAGCTGTGTGAATGCTTTTCTCTTCCCAGAATAAAATGCCAGAGACTGCTGTCACATAATCAAGGCATGCAGGCACCAGAGGCTAATTAAGAGCTTGTGGGAAGCACCTGCAGCCAATTAAGGCCTGCTGGCTTACTTTAAAAGGTATCCCGTTAGGTAAGGGAAGTTGAAGGAGAAGAGTGAAGGACTGAAAGGAGGAAGTGTGTTGCTGAGAAAGGAAAGTGTGTACTGAAGCAGGAAAGATTTCACTCAGGTTCCAGGGAGAAGGTACTGGAGGAGTGTTTGGGTAAGTGGCCCAGGGGATAGGCTGCTGTCTTGGGACTAGAGGAAAAACCCTGTCAGTTGCCACCACCTAAAGTCCCTGGGCTGGAACCCAGAGAAATAGGCGGGCCTGAGTTCCCACCATCACTCCCTACACCACTGAAAAGTCTGCTCCTGGAAAGGGAGGCCAGGATTACAGAGGGGCTTCACTCCAATCCTTTAACATTACCAATGGTAAGAATGGCTTAGTAAGCTTTTGGCAAATGGCAAAGCTCCAGGGCATGGTCGGAGCTTTGCCACAGTACATACTAAAAAGGACAGCGACATAGCTCATCCTTTTTCATATTAGCAAAATCTTCTGAAGGAGGAAGAAAAATACAGTTTGTTACATCTGCTCACCCATGCAGGATGCAATGACAATGCAGGATATCCTTCAAACGTTATAATATTGCTCCAGGATTACAAAGCTCTACCTGCTCCGCAGATCAGATGGGGGGTGCATGGGATGTAGGATCAAGATCCTGATGTTTTCATTCCATATACATTTCCAAGAGAACCTGACACAGTGTGCCCCTGAAATTTCACAATTTCCAACATATAGTTGCTTTACCACAAGATGCTTAGATAGTGATGGAAACAACTTTCTAGCACAGATCAATGCTCTTAAAAATCAAAACAACGTGGGTATAATGGCTATGGAGTAATCCCACTATTGGTACCTCCCATATGTAAGCACAATTTTATTTGATGAAAAGGAACTACATTTATACCTTCATACAGTACTTATAATACAATTTCTTTTTAATATTCTTAATTTGAAAATGTTTACAAAATACTTTATACAGGAAATAATGTAGTAGTGTGGGCCTTCCAGACACACAGTTATTGTGGGATTGAAACGTGCATTTTTGGCATACTGTGTCATATGTAGTATTGTATAAACAGGAATCATAAGCTTACTAATAAGTTCAGGAGATGACTTAGAAAAGTGTATCACATTTTGTAATGGGATCCTTTACGACAATCACATTCCATATACTATTTTAATGGTATTGCCAATTATTTAAATTCCTACCTTCTTTAGATTAAAGAAATGGTACATTCTGTTGACTTCAGTGTTGTTGTAAAAGTATAACACAACAGAACTGGACTAATGGGTGTCCCAAAGACAAGTGCTTGGGTAAAATTCTGCTCTACAGTGCATGGGGGAATCACACCCTTAGCACCAAGAGCAGAAGGCAAATTTATGGTTATATATTTTAAAGTGGACTTAAAATAAAAAGTTTTAACCACTTGAAGTTATTAAAGATCCCATGCCCATATTTTAAAGAGTAGGGGTATCTTGGTCCTGTAGGTAATTCCATTTTCTGAACTAAAACTACTAAATTGTAAACGCTTTGGGGGCAGGGACTGCCTTTTGATTCTGTTTGTGCAATGCCTGTAACCACTGAATCCTGATCCAACACTGCCCCCTAGAAGCTACTGAAAAAATAATCAATAAAAAGTACTTTCAACATGTTCTGTACAACTTTATGGTATTTCTGTGTGTTACACTGTTTGTTGTACTCCACCCTTGACAAGGCTGCATTTCAGTGCTATGCAGTTATTGAAAACTGGGTGTTGCAAAGCTTAATTGATTACTGTTTGCTTTTGTCATTTGACATGGTTGTATGACAGGTGCTGTTGATGTGCACAGTGTCATTGTGATTGAAAACAACTGAGCCGAATGGTTGATGAAGTAAGGTGCAATGGGGGAAGAAAAGATAAGCAAACCTAGGCATACGGAGTTAGACTTTTAAAAACAATCTTAATGCAAATGAGAAGAAAACTGTTAGCAAATCAGCACATTTTAGTACAGTGCAGCTACCAAACAGTTTGCAGTGAAAGCATTTCAAGCTCTGCTACTTTAGCATGATAATTCTTATCCTACGGTTTTATTGCTCATGTTTGTGATATGACTTCTATACATGTGTGCACATGCAGGAGAGCCTTATGTAATGACAATAATGGAAGAAATAATAAATACTTGTTCAAGATGATTTTATATCAAAACGGGATAGTGCATGTTAAAACATAATCATTAGTTAGGAGTATTTTTGCTTTTGCAGTCTTTTTTATTTGTATTATTTCTGCTCTTACTAGACTTCGTTCTTTTAGATAAAAACATGCATATCCGCGTTGCAGTTTGATTGCCTTATGGGCACAAAGCTTTGCATATTTACTGCCCATGAATCATACAAGTATGTGAAATCCAGTGAAGATTCAATTTTTCCTGCCAGATGCACCTCCAGCCGTTTAATTAAAATATGTATTATTAATAAAACTATATTTAAGTCATATTTTTTACAGATATGACTGAAACATTAAGGGCAAATTGTTTCATACTTTCACAGTAATTTGCTTTTAACGTTTTGTGCCTTAATCAAGGTAATACTATGGAGAGGTTTGTGGCATTCCAGACTTCATGATATTTAAGTGGTGAAAACAGAATAGGGCTGTTCTAATGAAAAGTCACATTTACTTATGAGAAGCGATCCCCAGCTTCGCTGCTCATGGAATCATCTTTGATAAAAAAATATAATAAGCCTTATAGTTAGAAAGGATCGTTGAGTGCATAGATTTTGATGTGTTGTCGCTGTCTGTACTGCATCCATGTGAGATTATTGTTCTATTCCAGCGTAGGTTATGTTGAAATAGGTCTGCCTTTAGATGTCACAGGCTACATCTAGACTGCAGGCTTTTTTCAGAAGAAGCTTTTCCAGAAAAGATCTTCTGAAAAAACTTCTTCCAAAAGAGAGCATCTACACAGCAAAAGCACATTGAAAAAGTGATCTGCTTTTCAAAAGATAGTGTCCACACTGAATGGACACTATCTCGTATTTAAGCTGTGATTACTATGGACAGAGTGGCCACCAGGACACCTGTGCTTTTTCCTTTTCCCTCTTCTTCCGAAAGAACTCCCTCTTCCCCATCCACACATGCCTTTTTCCAAAACAGTTCTTTCAGAAAAAGGCTTCTTCCTCGTAGAAAGAGGTTTACCAATGCTGGAAAAATCCCTCTGTTCTTGTGGTTTTTTTCCCCCTCAAAATAACACGATTGCAGTGTGGATGTAAGTGAAGTTTTTTCAGAAAAACGGCTGTTCTGAAAAAAAAATGCAGTGTAGACATACCCACAGCTATCCTTCTGTTCACATGACTCCTCTTCCACTTCTTGGTTACAAATGCCTCCTCCTTCAAGGAAACTATTGTATTTAGTAATACTAATTAGCTGCAGTATAAGTTATGTACATAAATGTTGGGGGGAAGGATCAATAATATTCTGTGCTTCATAATATCCTGCCTTCTTTTTAATTAGTACAGCTTTGTGTAGCTTACTGATTTTGGGGTGAAATAAGCCTATTAATTACTTCAGAGGAAGATTTCTAATTTGGGGGGGGGGGGTTATGTTATAGCAAAGCTATTGATGTAATACAAACAGGAAGAGCCACCACAATAGGAGACTTGGGGGTCATTTTCCTTAAGAATTACATAAAGTGACATTAAAATCTTACCAGTGGATTGTGGTTCATAATTTCAAGTACTCATATATGTTGGGAGTTGGAATGGTGGTGTTAATAATTATTATGATATATGACTAAAGGCAGGAAATAATCAACTTTTTACATTTGACTAACTTTCTTTTGGCTTATGATTGTTCATTGTCTAACTGTGCATATCTTGTATGCTTCTGTGGATGTGAATTACATTACACAGCACTTACCATCATAGACATCCCAAATGTGCATAATGTATTGACAATGAAGGTTAAGTCTAAGAATAATGCTGCATAAGGAAACCAAAGATTGCAACCACTACAGATTCTAATGAAAAATGTGGGAGCAGAGATGAATATTTTGGCCTCAGTTTAAGACATCTCACCATCAACTCTTAATGTTGTCCACCTGAAAGAAATGAGAGACAAAGTCTTTTTGATCAGATTATATTAAGCATTTAACAGCAGATCAAGCAGAGGGAAATCAATATACAATTGTTATTCTAAATTTGGTGTTTGCCCCACTTTGGTGGTCTCTGAGGGTATGTCTACACTACCCCCCTAGTTCGAACTAGGGGGGGTAATGTAGTCATACGGAGTTGCAAATGAAGACCGGGATTTAAATTTCCCGGGCTTCATTTGCATAAAGCTGGCCGGCGCCATTTTTAAATGCCGTCTAGTTCGGACCCTGTGCCGCGTGGCTGCACGCGGCACGGACTAGTTAGTTTGGATTAAGCTTCCTAATCTGAACTAGTTGTACGCCTCATTCCACTAGTACAGCTAGTTCGGATAGGAAGCCTAATCCGAACTAGCTAGTCCGGGAAATTCAAATCCTGGGCTTCATTTGCAACTCCGTATGACTACATTACCCCCCCTAGTTCGAACTAGGAGGGTAGTGTAGACATACCCTGAGATATTTCATTATTTTGTTCTTCCCAGATACCACTGGTTGGAAAATTGTGATAATTAGTCTCTTCAACTGTGACCCTTTTTAGGGGAATTTGGAAGTACAGAGTGTGCTAAATGTTAATATCACGTACTGATGGTGTTGACAACCTCAAGTATGCCAAAATCCTGAATCAAGCCCCCCCAATCTAGAGATTCTTTTTAAGAGTCACAATATCTTAAATACATTTTAATTTTTTTTACTTAATTTCTTCTTCTTTGCCTAATGACTTTTACACATCAAGGACAATGTTCTCATGTTTTTCTCTGCAATCATAAATGCGAAGAACTTATTTTTAAAAATGGAAGCCACAAGTCTCATATAATCACATGACTCCAGGAGCTGGGACTTCATAAGAGAAAATCAATAAAATGATTGTAACTGATAACACTGGACAGATCCCAGAATACTGATAACTGAGTAATTTCCATAGTCAAGGAGACAACACATACTTAGTTTAGAAGATATTGTAGACTTAGACAGAAAAAAGTGTATCTATGAATGAGAGAACACAGGGTACTTCTAGACAGTGGGCGATATTTTGGGACACATCTGGTAACCCAAAATAGCATTTTCCACATCTTTACAGAATGCCCATTATTTCAAAAAACAATCAAAATAATGGGAGGCTTATTCTGACATCCCACTAAACCTCATTCATGAGGATTAAGGGATTTGTCGAAACGGACTATTTCAAAATAAGCTACACAACTTGCATAGCTCAAATTGCGTAGCTTGTTTTGAGCTAGCGCCACAAATGTAGATGCATCCACAGTGACCTATCGTGGATTAGACAAATGGTCCATCTTGTTACCTATCCAGTCTTCCAACAGTGGCCAATGCCAGATGCTTCTGAGGGAATAAACAGAATGGGCCAGTTACCTAGCAATCACACCCCTATCATCCAGTTCTGATATCTGGCTTTTAGAGATTACTGGTAAAGAATATACTGTGGATATTGATTCCAAATGTTGAACTAATTTATATTGGTCATAGGTGCATCTAGTTTTCTATTTCTTATCCATGTACATTTGTGTGATCAAGTTGAGTTATCATGAGTGATCTCAGAAGGTGACTAAACCCATATCTATGAATCCTTTTGAAAAATGAAAGTTAAATTCACTTTCCATGAGTGTTCATATCTGATTTTTTCTTAGCAGCCTCTCTCGCGCAGAGCTGCTCACATCCTTAAATGCTGAATGCTCTCGACTCATTTTGACTTTCCATTGCCCGATCTTTTGCAGGATGGGACTTTTTAAAACATACATTCACTCATTCTGAGAACAGAAACATAGCCTGATACCTATTTCAGCAACCTGTGTAAACAATACATTTCATTGTGATTAGCTAGTCGTATTCCTAAAATAAGATCCTCAAATATTACTGAATAATTAACACATTCATGGATATTTGTGATATGTTTGAGAGCATTGTTTAAACAGATGCAAAGGTTAAATTAATCATTTAAATGATTTGCAACTAAAGGATTTGCCATGGGTTCTTATGGGGGTTTAAGGTAGGGGATGGGGATGCAGCAGTCAGGGCAAGGGACTGGGAGATGTTGGGGGGCTCAGAGCAGATGGTGGAAGGTGCAGGACTCAGGCTAGTAGCTCAGGGCAGGGGGTGGGAGATGTGTGGGGTGATCGGGGCAGAGGGGTACATGAGTCAGGGCAAGGGATGGGGGGCCAGGAATTGGATGGGGGGGGGAGCTCAGGGCTAGGGGATGGGAGGTGCGGGACTCAGGGCAGGGATTCAGGGCAGGAGTGCTCAATCCAAGGGGCTCAGGGCAGGGGGCTAGGAGGTTCGAGGGGCTTACTAGGGCCACCTGTGGCAGTGAGAGTGGCACTGCTCTAGCGGCAGGTTCTTTGGTGAGCCAAGGTTGTGTTCCCTTGGCTCCTCCAAAGCTGGGCTGCACTTCTCAGTCCTCCCCAGCTGCCGAGGGGCTTTCTGGCAGCCAGCCTGCCCACCCTCTGGCATCTCCTCACAGGGGATGAAGCTGGACTCCAGTTCCCAGCCCCCTAGTCGCTCCTCACAGGAGGGACAGGGCCAGGCCATGGTTCCTGGCTTCTCATCATGGAGAGGCCTGGACTGGGTCATGATTCCTGCCCCCCTCATGTCTCCTTATGGGGAGGTTGGCCATGTTTCCAGCATCTCCTTATGGTTGGGGGAACTGGGGCCAGGCCATGGTTCCTGGCTCCACAGCATCTCTTTAGGGGACAAGGCCTGTGCTCCTTGGCCCTGGGAGTGGTCCTTGGGGGGGTCAGGGTGGTTGGGCCGGAGGCTGGTGGAGCTCTCCTCCATCCAGTGCTGTGACCGAGTTTGGTAGAGGAAGGGGTTTGGGCAGAGGAGAAATGTATCCATTGTTGGTGACCATCAACATGAATAGCCCCAAAACCAGCAGGCTACTTTATTCCTGCCCTCAAGGCGGGACCAAGCTCCGTCTGCGCCATCCCTGACAGATGTCTATCTAACCTGTTCTTAAATATCTCCAGAGAGGGAGATTCCACCACCTCCCTTGGCAATTTATTCCAATATTTGACCACCCTGACAGTTAGGAATTTTTCCTAATGTCCAATCTAAACCTCCCTTGCTGTACTTTAAGCCCATTACTCCTTGTCCTGTCCTCAGTAACCAAGAGGAACAAATTTTCTCCTTCCTCCTTGTGACACCCTTTTAGATATTTGAAAACCGCTATCATGTCCCCCCTTAATCTTCTTTTTTCCAAACTAAACAAGCCCAGTTCATGAAGCCTGGCTTCATAGGTCATGTTCTCTAAACCTTTAATCATTCTCTGTCGCTCTTCAATGTATCCATTGTTGGTGACCATCAACATGAATAGCCCCAAAACCAGCAGGCTACTTTATTCCTGGTACAGCCACCCCCCTGTGGTCACTCTGCAGTGTAGCTGATCCCCACACTTGTTGCCCCCAGTTGGTCACTCTGCAGTATGACTGTCCTTCTATCAGCTCCTTCTTTTCTCATGTTATGGAAAACAGTTGGATTCCAGGCATATCACATTTTCCTAGCAAAACCAAACTCTGACCTTGCTTTAAGTTACGATAAGAAGAAGCTGCATACCAAATGTGGTGGTCCTAGCTCTTACCATTTAGAAGACGTTCTTGAACAGACAGACTCACAGATGGACAGACAGACGTACATTTCTAAAATACACAGATGGAAGATAAGTCATTCACTCATTCCTTTCTTTTCAACATTATATTTCATTGTTGGAATTCTACAAGTGGCATGAATGACTCTAGCCCTTTCTGAAGCAGTACACATATTTTTCTGCAAAATGCAGTTTTGAAATTGCAGAGAAGTAGGAGAGAATTCAGTGATATCGAAAAGAAATTATGTGATTGCAACCTGACCTAACACACTGAAGGTTTTCTCCCTTTGTGCTGAAATAGGAGGTGAAGCTGAACTCTTCACTCATTTGGACAGAGCAAAGTGTTTTTGTCCAGCTATACTGGAAGAAGGCACAAGACACTTGATATGACTTTAATCAGACTGCAACTTTATTATTGGGATAGCTGGGACTACCCAGTAGGAAAAAGTGTATAGTGCAGGCAAATCCATGTTCATTAAAATAACTATCCAGGACTTCCATCAGTCCTTCATTTTCTATGAACCTATGGACTTTGACCTTACCACCTACCTACCACACACACATAGAAGTGTTAAGATGGACCATAAGAAGAAAGGCAGGGTGGCTCCCTGCCATACCGATTATAGGAGCCCTGAAACCTCCCCTCCCCCCTATGGAAGGGTTAAGGTGAGCGATGCAAAGGGGGGGGGGGGTTGTCTCCCTGCTGTACCATAGGAACCTCAGACCTGTTTCTTCAGCCAGACCCTCCTTTTACAATCCCTTACCAGGCCATTTTTCTGACCACTGGATGTCTTCCCTATGGAGCTCCTGCACTGGACACCTGCCCCACACTTACAAAATTAGTTTCAATGTATGGCCTAACCACTTTCTACTCAGTCCTCCTTGACTCCACTCCAACAAAATCAATATAGAGGCAAGGGGAAAATTCCTGCAATGACCACAGCAGACCACAAGCCAGCATGATATTTGCACCTGAAGGGGAAGGAGGTTGGCTGCTTCCTGGCCTGCTGCATGGAGAAAGAACACAAGAATGGCTGTACTGGGTCAGACCAAATGTCCATCTAGCCTAGTATCCTGTCGGCCAGTGGCCAGCACCAGGTGCCTCAGAGAGTGTGGACCGAAGACAATGATCAAGTGATTTGTCTCCTGCCATCCCTCTCCAGCCTCTGACAAACAGAGGCCAGGGATACCAATTCTATCCCGCTGTGTGAAGAACTTTCTTTTATTAGTTTTAAACCTGCTCCCCATTAATTTCATTTGGTGTCCTCTAGTTCTTCTATTATGGGAACTAATAAATAACTTTTCTTTATCGGCCCTCTCCACACCACTCATGATTTTATAGACCTCTATCATATCCCCCCTCAGTCTCCTCTTTTCTAAACTGAAAAGTCCCAGTTGCTTTAACCTCTCCTCATATGGGACCCTCTCCAAACCTCTAATCATTTTAGTTGTCCTTTTCTGAACCCTTTCCAAGGCCAAAATATCTTTTTTGAGGTGAGGAGACCACATCTGTACACAGTATTCCAGATGTGGGCGTACCATAGTTTTATACAGGGGCAGTAAGATATTCTGTGTCTTATTTTCTATCCCTTTCTTAATAATTCCTAGCATCCTATTTGCCTTTTTGACCGCCACTGCACACTGTGTGGAAGTTTTCAGAGAACTGTCCATGATAACTCCAAGATCTCTTTCCTGATTTGTCATAGCCAAATTAGCCCCCATCATACTGTACGTATAGTTGGGGTTATTTTCCCCGATGTGCATTACTTTACACTTATCCACATTAAATTTCATTTGCCATTTTGTTTCCCAATCACTAAATTTGGTGAGATCTTCCAATATCTCAGGATTGTCTTTTTAAAGCCTTCCACTCCTTACATAGCTATGGAGTAACTGTGGGCACTTCAGTGCTGTTGCCAAATAGAATAAATGTTATACAGCATTACTCTTAATAATCAGCATTATCCAGACCAGACTCCTTTGCTTGGACTATTTCTTTCTCCAAATTCTAGTTGTTTTTAATATGCCCTACCTAATATGCCTAATACCTGAAATTGAACTGACCAGCACATCAGACATATACCTCTTCCCCTGACCAGCGTAACTTGGTCAATTCCTACAGACGTAATGTAAGTAGGGTCTGAATGCATGTTCCCTGACATCTAGTGATGAAGACCAGACTATATTTATATAAAGGGGAGGGCTTGGAAGTGCTTTGGAGGACAGGGTCATAATTCAAAATTATCTGGACAAACTGGAGAAATGGTCTGAGGTAAACAGGATGAAGTTTAATAGAGACAAATGAAAAGTACTCCACTTAGGAAGGAACAATCAGTTTCACATTTAGAGAATGGGAAGCGACTGTCTAGGAAGGAGTACTGCAGAAAGGGATCTAGGGCTCATAGTGGACCACAAGCTAAATATGAGCCAACAGTGTGACAGTGTTGCAAAAAAAGCAAACATGATTCTGGGATGCATTAACAGGAATGTTGTGAGCAAGATACGAGAAGTCATTCTTCCACTCTACTCTGCTCTGATTAGGCCTCAGTTGGAGTATTGTGTCTAGACCTGGGCACCACATTTTAAGAAAGATGTGGAGAAATTGGAGAAGGTCCAGAGAAGAGCAACAAGAATGATTAAAGGTCTAGAGAACATGACCTATGAGGGAAGACTGAAAGAATTGGGCTTGTTTGGAAAGGAGAAGACTGAAAGGGGATGATAGCGATTTTCAAGTATCTAAAAAGGTGTCACAAGGAGGACTCCTTTGTTCTCCTTGGCCTCTGAGGATAGGACAAGAAGCAATGGGCTGAAACTGCAGGAAGGGAGGTTTAGGTTGGACATTAGGAAAAACTTCCTGTCAGGGTGGTTAAAGACAGAAATAAATTTCCTAGGGAGATTGTGGAATGATATTTGATAATGATCAAATAATGATAATGTCTCCAGTGATAATGATCTCTCTGGAGATATTTCAGAGCAAGTTAGATTGACATCTATCGGAGATGGTCTAGACTATGCTTAGTCCTGCCATGAGAGCAGGGGACTGGACTTGATAACCTCTCAAGTGTGTTCTATGATTCTATGAACACACTTATTCTGCCTAGGTATTCAGTAGACAGTGCTGTATTGCCAAAGTGGTCAATTTTGGCTGATGTTGGGTTACAAATCAGTTTAGTGTGAATGTTGTTATCCTTATAGTGGGAGAACTGTGCTTAGTGTGCCCATTTGGAGTCATCCTCAGCTGAAATGTGTTCACTGAGTAGCAGGTAGGGAGGCCATATCCCTGTGAGCTCATGTCATTGCACCTCTGAAGTCTGGGACTTTGCTGACCAAGGACAGAAACTGTGAGTAGGATGCAGTGAAGGGAGAGGAGCATAGCATATTAAAGGAACACTTGTTTATCAGACTATCTTACTGCCAGGTGAGAAGCTGAGGCAAAGGATACTGCCCAGCATGCTCAGGGCTGGGTGTGTTGCTTGTGATCAAATGTTTTTCCATCCAGTGATTGTATTTTCCAAGGTTAAAGCTTTTACTTGTATTAACAGATGTTGTTTGTCATACATAGGGTCGGTGCTTGTGAGTGGGAAAGTATTGCCTCTTACCGGCACATAAGGTTGGTGCTAGGTTTTTCCAGATTACAGGGTGGGACCTTGAACTTGTTCTGTTTTGTAGTGTTAAAAGGAACTTGTAGGTAGTGAGCCCGGCCCTTGTTGCTTCCAACTTCACCTGCCACAAGGGTTAAAATAACAATAACTTACCTTTTAAAATATTAATAGCTGCTTTAAACCTATGAGTGCCTATGTGAAATTGCTTTGGGGCATCTTAACAAAAACAATCATATAATTTACAATGCACAATTTATATGCCCAATTTAACATGGACTATATAAAAGTGCACAATATAAACACTGTAAAATGAACTAAGAAACAAACATGTCTTGAGCACTGGGAAACCAACAGCATAGTTGTGTGTGAGCTAGATAATACACAAGAGGATGCATGGTCTTGTGGGGAAGCAGTGTAACTAGGACAGAGGTAGGCAATAAAACAGCAGCAGTTCATCAAGGTTAGCCCTTAGTGGGCCCCCACAACTATATTTGGCATGGGCGATTGCAAGTCCTGTTGGCCACAGATCACTGTTCCCAGCCAAAGGGAACTGCAGGAAACAGCGTGGATCAGGACACTGCTTCCCACAGCTCCCATTGGCTGGGAACAGGGATCCAAGGCAAACAGAAGCTGCAGTTGCCCACATCTGCAGAGACGTCAGTAAATATAGTGGTGGTAGCACATCAGGGGCTATCCCTGGGAAGTCAGATCTGGCCCATGGGCTGATATTTGCCTACCCCTGAACTAGAGTGAAGAGATCTGGGTTTAATTTCCAGCTCTGCCAGCATCTTAAAAGTGTATGATTTGGGGAAAGTCACTTAATCTATAGGGCTGGTCAAAGCTGTTACTTACTAGAAAATTGGGGTTTGATTACATGACTTTTTTTTAAACTAAAAATGTCTATTTTTTGTGGAAAACAGAAATATTTTCATTTGAATTGAATCCTGCTACCTCATGGGAGTTGTAGTTCATATGCCTCATTGTCTCGCCTGCTCCATGGGCTGGGCTCCCCAGTCAGAATTCTTCAGCACAGCCTCCTCCCCACAAAGAGGGAGGCTTATGGTGCATCAGAGGAGGGGTCATCTAAGGGAATCCCTCCTACAAAGCAGACACAGAGAAAGAGGCACCCAAATTAGAAAACCCACAAAACACTGCAGCAGCACTGACACAACTGAAATATTTCAATTTTCAATATATCTCCAAAACTTCATTTTTCTGCCTTTTTTTTTTTTACCAGCTCTGTCCCTCACTTCTTCATCTCTAACATTGGGATTATTATAAGACTTACTCTCAGCCTGGGTTTCTCTTGTTCATTTAGATGGTTAGCTTCTCAGGGCAGGACCCTCTCCTACTATTTTTTTGACCAGTGGCTGACCCAGCGAGGCTCAGATCTTGGTTAGAGCTTCTGGTTGCTACTCTACTACAAATACAATGGATTTCACCTATGAGCAACCTTTTGTTTCCAGCAAAGTGTTGGTATTACCTGAAGCTTGCCAATACATGGAAGACAGATTTGAGGGGCTGCAGCCAGGGAATGAAACCCTGGGAGGTGCATGGTGCCTCTCCCTGCTTACAGCTAGTGCTTAGCACATCCTAGCACTTCCTTGCCAGGCTGCAGTCCTGCAAATCTGCTGCCTGAAGTGTTTTACTTCCAAAACAAGTTGTCACTTAGCGGCATGCCTGCTGCCAATAATCAAATGCCATTCCCATTGCAGTCAGTGGGACAGAACTGGCTTCCAACAATGTGTTGCTGTTAATTGAAAGTTGTTAATATCAGGATTGCTAGAAAGCTGCAGCACCTACAATAAATACCAGAAAATTTCTTGACACAGCAGGGAAACGTATACTACCACTCAGGGGGTTTATTATTTTGTTCACCTTAAAAGACAAAAATAGATGCCAAGTATGCTCTGTCCCATATAATAATAATAATAATAATAATAAAAAGGTCTAATAAAGTACAACCATTAATTGAATCAAATCACACAGCTGTAGAAATATCACCTTGAAAGTCATGCACAGAGCACAAGTGTTGGGGGTCAAAAATCATAATTCTGTCCACAGAGATGCATGGGAGCCTCTCATGAATACCAGCTACTAGAAAGCCCGATGGTACAACCACACAGTGAAGATCGCGTGAGCACCTACATTAGGATGAGGAATAATTTTTGATAGGGGGCCACTCCAAGAATTTAGTAACTGGTTGAGGGCTGCTCTCTTCCATTATATTAATGGAGGAGGTGCAGGAGTCTGGGATGGAGGTTGGGTGCAGAAGGGAGCTTGGGGTAAAGAATTGGGGTGTGGGATCTGGGAGGGAGTTTGGGTGAAGGAGAAGATCGTGACCTGGGGCAACAGACTGGGATGAGGAGGGGTGTAGAGTGTGGTAGGAGAGTGTGACCTGGGGTAGGGGTGCAAGGATTTGGGTTGTGACCTGGGACAGGGGATTGGGTGCAGGGTCTAGGAGGAATACGGGTGCAGGAGAGGATTCTGGCTTATGGGAGGGGTGTAGGAGGAGGGAGTGCAAAGACTGGGATGAGGCTGTGATTTGGGGCTGGGGGTGCAGGGATTTGGGTTGTACCAGGGACAGCAAATTGGGGTGCAAGGTCTGAGAGGGGATTGTGACCTGAGAAGGGGTGTAGGAGGGGATGCAGTGTCTGGAAAGGTGTATGGGGGCTGGAGCAGGGGTGCAGAAAGCTTGGGTTACATGGGGTAGGAGGGCAGAGGGTTGGAGGAGGGAGAGGCAGGGGTGCCAGAGATAGGCTCTGGCTGAGAGACCTTACCTGGCTCCCAGCCAGTATTCCAGAAGGTTCCTTAACCAGGATCCCTGCCTTCTAGCAACTGTATATGCTCAGGGGAGCTGTAGGGGCCATGTTTACTGCTCTGAATTGAACGCTGTAAGCCCCGGGGGGATGAGGGAGCAGGGGCACTTAACATGCTGCCTGTGCTGCAATCAGGCAGCTGATATTGACTGGAAACTTGCCAATGGGAGCTACTGGGGGTGGGGACAGCATGAGAAGCCTGTCTCCCCTCCCTCCAGGCTCTCAATATTCAGACACACACATGGCCCTGCAGTCAGCTTTCCTGAGTGCTGAGCGGGAGGTGGGGGTGGGGGTGGGGATGGGGGTGGGGTGGGGGTGGAGAGGGCGGGGCAGGCAGAAAGCCAGGTGAGGCTTTCACGAGACGGATCCAGAAGATTGACGGGCTGGATTCAGCCCACAGTTCATATTTTGTCCAGCCCTGACCTACATCATCTCATGTTACATGTGACCCTGAACTATAGAACAATTCATTCTATAAAGTAATCTAGGTTAATTTAAACTGGAGGGGCTGAAATAAAATGTGAAAGGGGCACTCAGCGGAGATGTGTGCACTTTCAGGGCTATGTTTTGTCAAATAATTGTAATTGTACAGTACTAGGAGCAAGAGTAAAAATAGAGCCTTCCCCCTAAAGATTTGATTGCTGAAGACCGTTTCAAAGAAAAGGACTTTTAATTGTGTACAAATGGAATAAATACAACTGGATTAAGGCATTTTCTTCATCACCTTATTGCTATCTACTATTTTTACAGCATTAACAAGCTATAACACAACAGAAAAAGAAAGTCTCTGCCTCAGGGAGTTGACCATCTAATTTGCCATGATATGGTGAGTCTGAGTAAACCACTGGAGGGGGAGAGGGAGGAGGCGGGAGAAGTGAGGAACCTAAATACCTTTGAGGATCTATGCATAGGAGGTAAAGTGATAATTGAGTGCACATCTTATTGATGCCCATAAATATTTTTGAAAAATGTGACTTTTGAGATCAGTAAGGCAGTAGTAAATCTCGAGGAAAGTTTTGAATGGGAAGCGGTTGCTTGGCTTGCTAGGCGTGTTGAGGTGGCTACTTATGATACAAATATGAAAATTTCCTGTATGCTTTGCCTCTCCTCATTTGTTTTAGAGCTGTTTTCTGACATTTCATATTCACCTTGGGTGTGCCTAGACAGTGGAGCAATTTTGGGATACTGGAGGTATCCTGAAATAGCTACTCTGTGTTTTTTAAACAAGCCCATTATTTCAAAATAGCTTTTGAAATAACAGTATCGCTATTCTTTTACACAGTGCCAAATTTAGAAATAAGCTATTTTGAAATACACTCAAAATAAGATACGCAATTTGCATTGCTCAAATTGCGTAGCTTATTTCGAGCTACAGGTGCAATGTAGATTCGCCCTTAATCAGTCTTGGGAGTTGGAACTGTCTTTTTCATATTCAGTTTGTTCACTGGAACTGGTCAAAAATTGGATTGGGGGGAAGAGAGAAAGATATTCCTCCCTCAGCTTGACTGACTGTCATCTTAGACTTTATTATATTGGATTTTCAGGCCAGTTCATTTCCTCTTTTTATGCTTGACTGGCATTGCACTAATTTTTTTCTATCTATGCGTGGAATAAATGTTGTTATGTGTACCAAGATATGTGGTGATGTGCACCACCAGTAGCAATACATGCTGCCAGCTGAGGATGGTCTGCTAATTAGCTGGTCAACATTTGAATCTCTCTTGGGTGGCTGCCAAATTGTTCAGTTTACAAGGGACCCTGGTGTTAAGTATCTCTGTCAATAGTTCAGCCACCATACCTCCACTGAAGAAAAATGGTGGCTTCCCAATATAAAATATGCTTTGTGCAGTGATAAGGACCTTAATATAAACGGGCCTTAGAGTTTGACCCTACCTGACTTTTATTTTGCCATATGGCTTCTGACTCAAACAACGTCTGGAAAGCTCAGGAGGAAATATGGTGAAGGTGTTTGAGGTACAATTCTGTGAGTTAAAATGTTCTGGCATCCTTGCCAGAAAAGCCATGAGCTAGTGATAAACCTTGTCCAATACCTATAACAATTAAGCTGTCCTAGCTGCTCAGGGAGGTTTGCTAGCTTGGAGAATCGCCTTGTTTTAAATACCTCTATGACATTTCCTATCCCTGACACAGCCAGTTGCTTGTGTAAATGAAGACTAATATCAGGCCCTTCAGTTTTTCTTTGCTTTGATTCTAAATGTGCTTCATTTTATTAACATAACACTTGTTGGCCTAACTTAAGAAGGAGAAACTACTTTTACCTTTCCCATTGTCTATAGTGAAATAGTATAAGCCTCCTTAGGCTTATAAATTGTGTGAATTTATTTTCAACTAGCCACTTGCCTCGAAAGTTGACTTTTCTTAAGTTTTCACAGCTCTAATTTTTATTTGCTAATTACCCTTGACATCTTTAAATTATGCCTCAGATACCTTCTGTCCTGAGAGCACTGTATAAATGATACATTTAGAAATATAATGGAGGAAAAGGGTAAAGCAATATCATACACATAGACCAACTAAGGGCCTTAGCCCAAGCTTTTTGAGGTCAGTGGGATTTTTTCCATTGACTTATGTGGGTTCTGAATCAAATCCTTTGTCAGTCATTGGGGACAAAGATGTACTGATGGTATTTTGTAGTTACTTGTTGAAAGTGAGGGAAAGAAAACTAACTGCATTGAAATCAATAAGGGAGGAATAAGAAAATATTTGAAGGATATAGCCCTTTTTGCCAGTTCCTCCATTGGGATCAATTGAACTAACTTCATTTACTTCAATAGAACTATACTGTTTTACACCTGCTGGGGATCTGGTATGTTGACCACTGAGTCACAACTAAAAGGGATGCAAAATCAGGGCTCTAAAGAGATTAAATGATTTACGGTGGCCCAAGTGGGCATAGCTAAGAATAATGGGATGAAGTTAAGAAACGGGAAATATAGGCAGAATATAAGAAGGAATCTGATAATAGTGAAACATTTTCAGATGTGATACAGTTTGAAACTCAACTAAATAAAGCACTGGACAAAATACTTTGGGGTTACGTCTACACTCAAGGCTTCTTGCGCAAGAAGAAGAGTTCTTGTGCAAAAAATCTTCCACAAGAGCGTGTCCACATTGCCATGTGCCTTTGCACAAGAGCATCCATGGCAGTGTGGACGCTCTCTTGCACAAGAAAGCTCTGATGGCCGTTTTAACCATAGGGGCTTCTAGCGCAAGAAATTCATGTTGCCTATCTACACTGCCCTCTTGTGGAAGAGCTCT